GAAGAAAAGATACAAGGACTCCCTGAAACAACATCTCAGCCTTGGCCATATTGATCACCATAACTGGTCTACTCTGGCCTCAAATCGGGAGGCCTGGAGACACACCATCTGTCTCCTTTGAGAACACACGCAGGATCACTCTCGAGGAGAAAAGGCAATGCAGAAAGAACCGTGTCTTGCAGAATACACCGTCTAAGGAGTCTTTCTGCTGTGCCTTTTGCAATCGGACATGTCTGTCTCGTATTGGCCTCATAAGCCACCAACGTGCCTGTAACAAATGTGGATAGAGCCTTCCCGAATCTTCATTCGTGAAGCCCAGCCATGATGATGATTATTCTATAGAAAGGAAACTTTCAGCTCCAAGACCCTCCTTTGGTTCAGTTTCCGATTAATTTTATTGCAAAACTTCATTAACATTACTCCCTCCTGGAATTTCTGCTCTAACACCATCTCCCCCCACAGATCCTGAATATAGTAGTTTTTTTCTTCCCCCCCCTTTGTTTCTTATTTTTGCCATCCAATTTGGGTGCTGACGGACAAGGCTGGGTTTTTATTTCACCCTAACATCGCCCCCGCCCCTCGTTCCCCAGCTGATATCCACATGAGCTCCATGGACCTCTGCTCACTTGCCACATTCCTATTTTAATCCCTGTTTCCTACAGCCACCCTCTGGCCGCATTTTGCTTCCCCCGCTGCAGCCGGAGTGGCAAAAATTCGCCTTGTAAATAACTCATCCCTTCTAACGCCCTCCCGCTCCGCCCCCGCTGTCGCCGCCTGTGTTCGCTTCTGTCCTCTCAAATCCTTGCTGGCCTTGTCCCTGGAGGCGGTTTCATCACTGGGGCAGTGGGAAAATCGGGTCAGCCCTACGTCGCTTTCGCCTGGCAGGTCCCGGATGCCAACACCAGGGTCCCGCCCCGTCGCCACTTCCAGGAAAACCCTGGCCAGGCCCCTTTTTGTGCGCACTTCTCCGAGTGCCCTTTAAAAACAACCATGGCTGCGGGAAGTGCCATAAGATACCTCCAGGAGGAAACCACCTGCGCTGTCTGCCTGGACTTCTTCCACGACCCTGTCATGATCCTCAGCTGCGGCCACAATTTTTGCCGCCGCTGTCTCGATTGTTGCTCGGTGGATGCCGCCGGCGGTGGTTCCTGTCCGCAGTGCCGGGTCCCTTTCCCGCACGGCGGCTTCCGTCCCAACCGGCAGCTGGCCAACGTGGTGGCTGCCATCCAGGAGCTGGACACGCCGGCGGCGCAGGAGCTTTGCCGGAGGCACCAACAACCCCTCACTCTTTTTAGTCACCGGGATGGAATCCTCGTCTGCGCTGCCTGCGCTGAGCGTCGCGCTGAGCCCGCTGTGCCCCTCGAAGAGGCCGCTCGCTGGTACAGGGTGAGCGAACCTCCGTCTCAGACACTCTCTCCCTGCCTGAGAGATGCTAAACTCCCAGTTTCCCTTAAAACCCTTCCCCCAGAATATGTATTTTGAGATGGGGCAAAGCCTTTCTCCATCTTTCCGGGAGAAAAATACTATGAGCATCCAAAAGTCAAAACTGAGCTGCAATGCTGCAATTTGCTGAGGGTTAAGTATGAAACAGGGCAGGAGTGTGGCAGTTTTGGGACCAAAACTAAATATTGGTGAATTCAAGCTGCTGCTGTCAGCCAGTGCCTTTGCTATGGAGGATTCCTGTTCTGCTTCCGGGTGTGGAGGAGAAATGGGGGTCCCCAAGGGGGGTTCGGACTTGGCTGGGTGTGCAAGGAGGGGGGAAAGGGGGAATGGGAACTGAAGGGTGGTGGCAACTTTTTTACAGGAGAACTTGGAAAGGTAGGATTTCCCAGCCTGGCTGGAAGGACTATAATGCCCATTTATCAGTATATATTTACATACCTTTACAGATGAGGTGAGACTATGCATAGAGCATTCCTATAAAATTAGTTATAACATGGATATGCAGGAACATATCTGCTTCAGTGCAGCTGGAGAGGAGGATGAGGAATGGGCCACCTGCTTTGGCCATATTGCAGGTGCTTTCAGGGTCCCAGCCCCGCCTTATCCCCCTCCTCCAGGAGCCCAAACCCCTTTTTCCCGGTTGCAGAAGCAGTTTGAAGGTTCCCTAAAAAACCTGCAAGAGGAGTACGAGCGATGTGCCAGTCTCAGCGAGGCAGCAAAGGAGACAAGACAGGAGATGCTGGTGAGTGCTGCTGCAGTTAAGGTGCACTGTGGGGGCCAAAGTGCTTAATTCCCCACTCCAGCAGCATCCTTCTTCTCCTTCATCCCCTAGACTCAAGTCAGTGCTGAGAAGCAGAAGCTGCTGGTGATGCTGGAAGAGCTCCGGCGGGTTTTGAGTGAACAGGAATCACGTTTCCTTGCCCGGTTCCGTCGCCTGTGCTGGAGGCTGGAGGAACAGCAACGTGGTGAAGCTGCCAAGATAACCTGGATCCGGCAACACCGTGCTGAGCTCCAGGCCAAGTGCCAGCAACCGGATGTTGATCTGCTACGGGTGAGCCAAAACTGTCCCCACAAATCCCTCTGTTCGCCCCCACCCCTTGGCTTTTATTCCCAGGAAAACAGCCCTAAGCATCTCTCTCCCTTCCTCTCCAGGATGCCCAAACCACCCTGAGCAGGTACCGGGGCCAAAAAGCATCACCAGGAACACCAGTTTTGGGCCAAAATCCTCCACTTTTGGGATCTCCTCCTCACCCTGCGTTCTTTTCCTCTGAGATTTTTGCTTTTGAGCTGGAGGGGGTTGGTGGTTAATCCAGAACTTGGTGAAGATGAGGGAAATCTGCCATCACATCTTGCAGGAGCTGGACCCTTGCCCAGGGAAATAAAGATGTCCCTGTGGTTTTTCAGTGGTGGGGAAAGGAAATTTTGGGATTTCTTGGCATTAAACACCCCAATTTTCCCCCCTTGAGGTGCACAGAGAGGAAGGTGCAGCCGTTGCTGCCGTCGATGCCAGAGCTGGAAGCAGAGCTTGAGGATGTTACCCGGAAAACCAACATGCTGGCAGAGGCAGTGACACAGTTTAAAGGTGCTTATAGAGGAAAAATTGACAAAAAAGGGGATTTATGAAGTAGAAATGGGAACCTAGGGTGGGACTGGGAGGAAAGAGAACCCCAGGGTTGCCAAATTTGTCTGGACAGTGAAAGCATCACTTTAAATCCTCCTTTAATTAAAAGAAAATCAGGGATTTATTCTCTTTATAGCAGCCTTAAGGCATAGCAGACTGCTGGTGGGAGATGCAGAGGGCTGTTGGTGGTTAATTGGCACCTAAATTAGGACATTAGTTATGTGTGGAGGCAGGTGATGCCCCAAATGAAGGGGGTTGTGTCTCCCAGCTCTGGTGGTCTTGCCTTCTCCTTGCTGCAGGGAATGGGTGGATGTGGGGCAGCCCCAGAGCCAGATCCAGAGGTAAAAATCTCTGGGATCATCTTCTATTTCCAGACGTCTTGGGCTGTTCACTGGAGGAAGACTCAGGGGGATACCAGAGAGGTGAGTCAGGCTTCAAGGCTGATGCTCAGATTCAGCATCCAGAACTGGGGCTCAGCTGCAGAACCTGGAGCTGATGCTCTGGTGTGATTTTTGAAGCTGATAACCCTGATGCATATAGCCCCACTAACACCTCTCTCCCGTCCAGCAACTGTGACCCTGGATCCAGCCACAGCTCACCCCCAAATCCTGGTGTCAGCAGATGGCCGGACTGCAGGCCGCCGGGAATCACCCCCAGCTCCTCTTCCCTCAGGAAAGGAGCGTTTTGAGTCTCTCCGCTGTGTTTTGGGTCGGCAGGGCTTCGTGGGGGGCCGGCACTGCTGGGCTGTGGAGGTTCGTCCTGGTCCCGACTGGGCACTGGGGGTGGCTCGGGAATTCGTGTCTCGTAAGGGCTGCTTTGGTCTCAGCCCTGAACGTGGAGTTTGGGCTGTGGGGCAGTGGTTGGGGCAGCTGCAGGCTCTCACCTGGCCCAGCCCCACATGTCTACCCCACAGCTACACGCTCCGACGCATCGAGGTGGCTCTGGATTACGCCGGCGGGCGGGTGGCTTTCCGCGATGCTGACAGCCAGACCGAAATCTTTGCCTTTCCCCCGGCCACTTTTGCCGGTGAGCGACTTCGGCCACTGCTCTGGCTGGGTGAGGGGCCAGCTCTGCTCACCTTCTGCCCCTGAGTCCCCCCAAAACCGACCATGAACCTCCCAAGCACAGACACTTCCACCACCCCAGCAAACCCTGCACTCAATAAACAGCTCCAACTCCCCCCCCCGACCCATTTCATTTTCCTTATAACACCTAATTTAACAACATTAATCACATTTCACTCTCTTGCTCCTCAGTGGGAGAACAGAGATATTTTTATTTCCCACAGCACAGAAGAACATGCCTAAAAATTTTTGGAAAGCTCACTTTGAGGCTTTGCTTCTGGATGCCTCGCAATAAGAATTTGCAAGTGGAAACATTTCTGCTTAGGATTTGCAAAGAATTTAAGGGAAGTGGGCTAAAACCATCTCTTGTGCCTCCTGGGATCACTACGGTTCATGGTTGTGCCACTGCCACAATGTGAGCAGGGAGAGAGGCCACAAACAGGATTTTATCTCCCATTGCACTGCCAACAAGTTGAATAGAAGGGGAAAAAATAAACAAACTTGTATCTTGAGGCAGCAGAAAGTTGTTACTAGGGTTAAACCATGTGATAGAGACCTGTTATCAGCAAGCACAGGCAGGACTGGGCAGGTCTCTGCCTCTTACAGCCTCTATCGCTCCACCTTCGCTGCCAGACTTGCCTCCCCATCCACAGACATTCTTGACATCAGACTGAGGAAGAGGAGAAACCACAAGGAAAGGCAGCAGGGAAGGCAGCTGCTTTTATCTTCGGGGCCCTAATTTTAAATAACTGCCTTGACAAACCCACAGGTCACCACTAAACCCAAATTGCAGTCCTGGTCAGTTGTATAATTAGTTGTTTCCCTGTTTGGTTCATGGTGAGGTTGGTCCTGGCTGCTGTCTTCCTTAAAATACAAGGCCCAGCAGTGTGTAAATCAAAGTGCTTCTTTGCAGCATCCTGCTCCGAAAGATGAGCTTCCAACACTCCATTTTATCCAATTTTCATGTGAATAGCTTAATGGATATTTAATTTAAAATTACGTAAAAAATAACGAAACATAAACAACAAAAAAATCTACCCTTCTGCATAGCTCAGCAGGTCCAGAGATGGCTCTCCAGCGTGGGAGGGGGGGAGAGGGTGGTCAGAATCAGTCTCTTTTCACCCAAAGGCAGCTCACCAGCATCCCAACAGCAGTTCCAATGGCAGATCCTTGGGCAGGGAGGGTGCATAGCCCCCACTCCTCGAGCAGAGCCAGCAGATGCACCTTACAGCCCTCCCACAGAGCCGCCACTGCAGCCCCTGAAACCCTCCCCAGTGACAGAGACACCTCGTAGCAGCCCACAGAAAGAGACTTTGGGGAGTAGCTGAAGGTTTTTTTTTCCCACAAAGCTGGAGGCCAGGGTGGGAGGTGGATGTGTTTCAGGAGGTTTGGGGGTTGAGAACGAGCGTTCTTGGGGGTTTTTTTATCCATTGCCTTCTGCTTCTCCCCATGCTGCCCCTCTCCCACTAACACCCTCAGGATTCAGACTGGAGTTGGAACAGTGCACCCAAGGGAAGTGTGGCAGGCACTGAGGAGCAAACCTGAGTGAGACTGCAGGTCCTCCATGAGAGTGGGGACATGAAACCTCCCCTGCTCCTCACTGGGGTCCGTTTTAACTGAAAAAAGGCAGAATTATGGGCATGGGTTTACAACCATTCAGGTTAGTAATTGGCAGGTTTTGGCAGGTGCTTATAAAAACAGGACTCAAAAGGCGCTAAAATGAGCAGCTCGTAATACCTAGAGGACACCAATTTGTGTATATTTTGCCCCAAAATACAGCTCCAATGCAAACCGGGGAGGTGTCAGGGTTTTTATCTTCTGCTTTTGGGGAGGTTTGCTCCATTTTGGGCCTTTTTCCCAAAGGAGCAGCCAATGGTGATTTTCCACCTTGAAGTGGTGCTCACAGGGAAGAAATTCCCAACTTAGGGATGAACTGGTTAAGAAAAGGTGGGCACTGCTGCCTCCAGGAGAAAGTGCTGTTAAACCACCATCCCCTTTGTTTTTGAGAAAACTGTCACTTCCTAAGTGAAAATAAGAAGTGGAGATGTGCAGGAAACAGGTCCAAAAGTATCCCTAAACCCTCCCAGAATTAACCCAGATGCTGCTTGGGGGGAGGGGCATAAATCTGTCCAAGTGTCACCAGTTTGCCCAGTTTCCCCCTCCACTGGCCTTTCCCCCTCTTATTTAATTTATTGTAATAAAATGTCATTATTTTGTTTCATTTTTTCCATTTCATAACTTCATCTGCTCAGAAAAGAGGTTTTTCTCCCCAAAATGAAGCATAGCATAATGTTTCTCCCCCCCAGGTTCCCTCATTGTCCAAAATCCCCTGCAAAAAGCCACATCTGATAGTTTATTTAAGCTAAAAAGAGTCTTTTTTAACAGCTGAATATAGGGGATGAGACCCTATAGTGCATTATAGGGCTTGGGCAGCATGAATGAAGCTGGTAGCTGGGCTGAGCAAAAGAAATTTGAATTGTGGGGTTTTAGGGTTTTTTGCCTTTTATTCTGTAGAGTAATTTCTCAGACATGCTTTAGACCCGAACTTCCCCCATGGCAGCATGAGATCTGGTGAAGGAGCACACCAAATCTTCCACATGAAAACACACCAAACCCCAGAAAACTGAAAAAAGGAGAAATTGTGATAGACTGAATAAAGAATCTTGTTAAACTTGGCGATTTATTGTGTCCCTCATAACTGGGGATTGATGTCTTAAAGTGTTTTCAAGCCAGGTGAGGTAGAAGGCTGATAAGAAGCACATCCTGTGGAAGTGTGGTAATGCTTTTTATCATGCCAATTTCCTCCTTTCCAATGAAGCACAACTGGCACCACTACACGGTCATGAGAAGCAGGGCCAAACAGCAGTCATGTCATTAGAATGGGCCATAAACCATTGCTGTCCCCCAAATTGACTTGGACAAGTTAGCAGCATGGAAGGGTGACATGGGGAAGGGCGAAGGTTCAGTGGTGGCAGGACCAGGGGAGCATGCGGGGCACACCCCAGGCTGGGTGGTGTGAGAGAAATAGGAGTGTACCCCCAGAATGAAGGCAGGGGAAGGAGTGGGGCCAGGGGATGTCCCCGAGCCAGGTGGAGGGTCTGGGCCTACCCCCCAACCCATGGGATGTGGGGGACAAGAGGTGGAGTCCTTGGGGTGCTGGTTGCCCCACACGTGGGTGCTGGTGCAGCAGGCTCAGGGTGCCCCTGCAGCAGAACTGCTCTTTGGCAGGGCTGGGGGTGGGTGGCAGCCCGAGCAGCGCTGCTCCCTCTCCCACCCCGGACCCAGGGGGGCTTTGACATCATCCTCAAGCCCTGGGAATGTAGTGAACAGGTGGGACCCCAGCAGAGGGTGCTCAGAGCCCCCGGGATTCCCGTGGAAGGTGCAGTGCTGACCCCACTGTCACCACTGTCCTCACCATCCCTGCCATCTGCTCTATCCCTATGTCCCTCCCCTCTGTCCCCCCAGGTAACCGTGACTGTGCAGCAGGTACAGCAGTTCCTACACCACTCATCCCTCGCAGGTCCTCAAGGTGCCCAGTGACGTCATTCTCATCTGTGTCATATTCCCTGGTCCTCTGGGGTCCCTCAGCCACACCCTGTGGTGCTGCCCCCAGGTGGGGACCTTCAGAGGGGTAGGGACTGCCAAGGGCGTGGGAACGATCTGGGTGGGGATGCCCGGGGGGGTTGATCTGTGAGGATAAAGACACCTGGGGGGGATTGAGACAACTATGGGTGGGTTGAGGACAATTACAGGACAGGGTGGATGGGGACATACATAGGCACAAGGACCTCTAGGGTCTGGCTGGGGACCCAGGAACATCAAGGACCCCCAAGGAACTCAGATGACATGCAGGATTGCAGGTCAGGGATGGATGACCTGCCCATGTTGAAGTGGCCTCATCCCCAGCTCCATAACCCTCTGCTCCCACTGTACATGTTTTCTGCATCAGGGCTAGGCTCATGATGGTCGTATCTCTGTCCTCAACAGTCAGTCCAGGAAAAGAATGAACTTCTTTATCCTGACGCCTATGCTTCACAGGCAGTGGTTGATGTTGCCATAAAATCATGGTGCCAAGAAGCAGGAAGACATTAACAGATTAAAGGATGTTCAAGCCCACTGTAGAGACCAGATTCACACTGCATTCCCACTGTAAATGCAATGTCCCAAGAGAAGAGGTCAGGAAGGAGCACTTTGGCTCCCAGACCACTCGGAGATGCTCCAGCTCACTCCTGCTGGTTTGAGAGTGGAAATCATGGACCCCATGGGGCCACAGCACCATGCCTTATCCTGCTCTCACATCTCCTCTCCAGCTGCTGCTGTGGCTCCCCACCCCAGTAGCTCTCTACCCACAGATTTCCAGCTGGCCTCCCATCCTCCAATGCGACCCTCCTGGGAACCTGGAGAAGCCAGGATGATCCTGTCAGGGGCCCTGAGAAGGCTGGGGAGCCTGGCCCCATGTCCTTTTGCTTACAGAAGCTGCAGTAGTCTTCCTACAGGATGGAACCAGGGGATGGATGCTGGAAAGTCTGTCCTCCCTCCTGGAGGTGCCCTGCAGCCAGAACTATATGGAGAGGAGATGTCATCCCGTGCAGAGCACAGTTGAGCCCTGGCTTCTCAGGGCTTAACCATGGAAAGAAGGACTTCTGTTAAGTGTGGAGAGGAGGTTTTGATGACTAAGATTTTGGCTGATGCAAATTCAGAAAAAGATATGAAGTTTTCAGAGAAGTTCTGGAGGCAATAGGTTCAAATGAAATTGGGGAAAAATAACACTGCTGCAAAGCCAATATTGCTGTGCTGTTTTAAAAGTTAACCAGCAGGGGAAATGAACTCAACTCAAAAGAGAGATTATAAGTCAGAATAACAGTTTAATAAAATAACACAATAAGTATGATTACACAGACAAGCAATTTGGTTTTAACCCACAAAACCCAAATGTATAACCCAGCACCCTGGGGCATGACCAAAGTGGTGTTTCTCGCCCTCCCCCGAGTCCAAAGTAGAGGGAGAGGGGAAAAAACCTGCTGGTGGGAGAGTTGTTGCAGTCTGATCAAAAGTAGTGGTTGCAGTCCAGTTGAGAGCAATGAGCTGCAGTCTGGTTGAGAGGGGTGAGCTGCAGTCTTCCTCTGGATCCCACGAGTGGTAAAAAGGTTCTGAAACTCCAAGTTTATATATTCTCCAGTTCAGGCAGGAATGCTCAGTCCTTCCCTCAGAGCAGGGAATTCCATAAAATGGTATGAGGATGCTCAGTCCTCCCCTCAGAGCAGGGAATTCCATAAAAGGGTATGAGGACAAGAACATCTTCCTACCTGGCAGGCCTCTACTGACAACAGTTTCTGGGAAATGGCATGGAAGGCCATAGAATACACAGTCCTGGTCTACACCCATCCAGTGATGAATTGGTCCCAGCTGTTCTAACTAGGACAATTGCATAAAAGACCGAGGAGGAAAAAAGACTCCAGGCCAATTTAGGTTGGAGATGAGATAAGAAGAGCAGAAGTTTTAATGAGCCCCCAGGCCCCAGGAATACAAACCACCACGCGCGCATTTGGATACAGGTTCTATAATTTTATAATGATGTCCAACCAATCCCTGCTCGCCCACCCCCCAGTTCCACCTCACTCTGCCCCTTGGCACACCCCCTCGGGAATTGAGTCTGGGGGAGTTTGGGACCCTTCTGTCATAACCTTCATCCTCCTCTCCGCACGTTGAGTCCTTGGAGGCCCTCCAAAGGTCCGGGCTTGAAGGTTGTTATGCCTATGTTTACATCTTCTGGTGCAAGCCTTAAGGTGTTTTTCTACAATTCTACCTTGATAAGGAGACTAAATAGCTAACAGAATTTTGAGGGATTGATATGGGGCGGGGTTTGGTATGTGCAACCGTTAAGCTACTGCCGTTACTTTTACTGGAAAATATTGGTAAGAGATGTAATACCGTGAGACAGCAAAAGAATGCATGTTAATTATGCTGGTAGAGACCTCAGTGTGAAAATGATACCTGAGTTATATGCTGCTGTAGTTACTTCTACTAGAAATACCGATACATTAAAATCTACATCCACTACATAACTACTTCTAAAAATCTATAAAAATTAAAAAATCAAAAAATCAAAAAACTTTAAGGCATCACCAACTGCATCCAATATAGGAGAAACCAGAGAAAGAACCAGAATGGTGCTGGAAATGCTGCTGCCACAAATGTCCCAGCAGTAAAGTTTCTGGAGTAAATATCCACTGTCTTCCAGAAGCAGATCTGAACCTGCCAGCCAGTCTTGGACTTATCCTCCAGCATGTGGCAGCAGGCATCCAGCCCTGGGCTCTCAGTCATTTCAAATTCCAAGGTATCCTCATCCCACAGCATCCTGCTCCCCTGCAGCAGGGTAAGATGTCCCCATCCTCCTCCAGCACGTTCAACCTCCCAGCACCCCTAGTCCCGCCCCTCCTCAGCCTGACTTCCCAGCACGCTGTCCTGATGGTGTTGGGGTGGACAGTGGCAGCAATGATGACTGCCTGGATATGGCCCAGGGACCCCTGCCCAGCACCATGTCCTCCCTTGCAAGGACACCCTATGGTTCCAGGGGACCACCCACCCATCGACCCCACCCATTCTCACCAGGCAGTGGGTGGTCACCAGTATGTAGGGTTGTGAGGAGAGAGGCATTGCCTCTGTCCCCCTTGGGTGCCCACAGCTGAGCCTGCTGGGTGCTGAGCACTGTGACTTGGTGGGACAGACAGAGTCCCAAACCTGCAACCGTGCATGTCCCCTAATGCCCTAGTTTCCCAAACTCCCAAACCAGCACTAGAGGTCTTTGACCACATAGCTGTCCCCAAACTCCCATGGTTGTCCCCAATATTCCAAGGACCCCAACACCCCTGACGTCCCTGTCCCCACAGATCAATCACCCTGGATGTCCCCACCCCGATGGTCCCCATCCCCCTGAAGGTCCCCACCTGGGGGAAGCACTCCAAGGTGGAGTTGAGGGGTCCCCACAGAGCCAGGGAATATGACACAGATGAGAATGATGTCACTGGGCACCTTGAGGACCTGTGAGGGATGAGTGGTGTAGGAACTGCTGTACCTGCTGCACGGTCATGGTCACCTGTGGGGACAGAGGGGACACCAGGGACAGCGCAAATGGCAAAGGATGGTGAGGACAGTGGTTCACCTTCCACAGGAATCCCGGGGCTCTGAGCACCCTCTGCTGGGGTCCCACCTGTTCACTACATTCCCAGGGCTTGAGGATAATGTCAAAGCCCCCCTGGGTCCGGGGTGGGAGAGGGAGCAGCGCTGCTCGGGCTGCCACCCACCCCCAGCCCTGCCAAAGAGCAGTTCTGCTGCAGGGGCACCCTGAGCCTGCTGCACCAGCACCCACGTGTGGGGCAACCAGCACCCCAAGGACTCCACCTCTTGTCCCCCACATCCCATGGGTTGGGGGGTAGGCCCAGACCCTCCACCTGGCTCGGGGACATCCCCTGGCCCCACTCCTTCCCCTGCCTTCATTCTGGGGGTACACTCCTATTTCTCTCACACCACCCAGCCTGGGGGGTGCCCCCCATGCTCCCCTGGTCCTGCCACCACTGAACCTTTGCCATTCCCTGAGGTACCTGGCCAGCTTTGCGGTGGTGGCTCTGAGGCAGGAGGTGAGAGGGTAGTTTTGAAATCAATCTTGCTTAGAAAATTCAAAAAAACAATTGGTTAAACTTTTTATTAACTTTGAAAGAAATCCCTTTTCTTTGGGCAGCTGTCCCAGCCCTGGTGCTGGCTGTCCAGGTGCTTCATCTGGGGAACCTGGATTTGCAGCAAATGCCATGGTGCCCGGGGTCAGTGGCGGGGGTCAGAGGCTGGTCGGTGCTCTAGTAGGGTGGTAGGGACAGGGATGAGCCCCCCTGCAGCCCAGGGGCAGCCCTAGCTGGGGGTAGCTCTGCCAGCCCAGGACAGGACAGGCAGCAGGGGTACCTGCCTGGCCAGAGACCCTGCGGGACAGAGTGCTGGCCCCTGCTCTCCAGAAGATAGGCTGTTGTCCCACACTGGCCAGGGCCATCCCCACACTGGTCTCCAGCTCAAACACCCGCATCCACCAGTTCTCCCCATCTATCCTGTGTCCGCCCCTCCTCAGCCCACCTCAGACCACAGTTCCACCTGCTCAGCCATGCACACAGAGCCCTGCTCACCCACTGCTGGCAAACAGCTGGAACTCACTCCCCCCTTCCCCAGTGCCCTACAGGGCCATACCCAGCTTGTCCTGTGCCCTCACTGCCACTTTAGGCCTGTGCTCCTGTCTGTGATTGATGCAGCCATCTGTGCCCAGCAGCTCGGTCACACCAGGCTGGGAAGGAGAGAGTGGCTGGCTGCAATGTTGAGCCCAATTCAGCATCCCCAAGTAACCTTCCCCATGCAGCTTTCCCTGAGGAAACTGAGGCACGAATCCCCACAGATGCTCAGCATCTCCCTCCCAGCCTCGGTGCTCCCTGATGTATCCTTCCCTTTGCCATCCCTACCTTTTTGGAGAGCCACAGGGCATCCTTGAGCTGTGCATTGGATGTGTACTGGCCCCTGTCACTCTGCATCTTGAGGTGGGACCTGCCATTGGGCAGCTTCCTGGGGGCCAGGGTACAGGAATCATCAGTGCCCAGCTCTGTGGTACCCTGAGCTTCATCCCACAGTGCCCCAGTGGGGCATGTCCCTCCCGACTCCCCTACAACTGCTGCAGGAGACCCATGCCTGTCCCACTGTGCTGAATCAACCCCCCACCAAGCCTGAGGCCAGGCTGAGATCAGATACAACTGATGACATGTGGCACTAGTGCCACTGAGACCAGGGCTGGATGAGGCAGTGCAGCAGGAGCTCTAAAACCCTCGAGAACTGGGGCAAGGACAGCTGGCCCTCTGTGGCCCCGTTTGCTTCCCTGCCCCACCCAGGCCCCCTGACTCCCTCTACCTCCGCCAGGGTATGACTATCCTGCACCCCAGGGCTCAGGGATGGGTCCCCATGTGCCCTACCTGTAACCATGCTGTTGTGCTCGCTCCTCTGTGATGATGGTAGTGGGGTGTGCAGCGTGGCTGATGGGCATTGGCGGATAGAACGGGAGTGTGTCAATGTGCCTGGGGAAGACAAGAGCCATGGGTGGGTGATGGGGACAAATGAGCCATCTCAGCTTGGGACAGCACCCCAAAACCCATAGGCTTGTAGCGCACAGCATTCCCCTGCCTGCTGCTCTCAGGGAGAGGTTTCGGGAGGGGTTCCCATTCCCGGCTAACAGACAGGGCTGTGAAGGGGCCTCAGCAGAGTCAGATCCCAAGGCAGACACCCTAACCCCCATGCCTGACACTGGGCACTGTTGGCACCCGACCCCCCCGTCCCACCCCTGCAGCCCCCCGATACACCAGTGCTGGGTGCTACTCACGGGCCAGGCACCTGCATGTTGAGGTCCCGGTCGCAGGACAGGCACTTGTAAGGGACCAGCAGCTGCCTAAGGGGGGAAGGAGTTTGGTGAGCTCCTGGCAAGGCCGCAGTGCTGCCTGCACACTGGCAGCAGCAGGTGCTGGGCACAGGTGAGCTCACAGGCAGCAGCAGGTGCCAGGCATGTCGCTGCAAGGATTCACAGTGTTTGCATGGGGAACTGCAGGGTGTTGAGCCTAATTTCCCCCCACCGAAGAAAAAAGAGACAAGCAATGCTGGCACCTCTGAACTTTGTAGCTGCCCAGGGTAGGTAGGGAGGGATGTGAGAGGCAGCACACAGGTGCCCATGCTGCTATCTGAAGCCCAGTGTCACTGTCTTGTCAGGACTCATGACCTGCCCTGTGCCTGGCCAGGAGGGCGGGTTATGACCCAGCCCTGTGGTGCCATATGTTGTGCTCCTGCCTGCAAGAATGACCTGCTGTCCCCTATCCTTGCACCTCTGCACCCACATCCCAGTTTTGGTTTGGAGCGCTCCATTTTGCAGATGCCCCTCCTGGTACCTCCTTTGATGTGGCGAACATGCTACTGGTGGATGGAGAATGCAGAGTCATCATGCTTTGTCACCATCCCTGTGGTTCGCTGGCTATTCTTGTCCGATGCCAGGGTACCACATGGGCACTGGCTGGAATAGCTGGAGGAAACGAGGCCAGTGCTGTCCTCAAAGCGAACACCATGCCCATCGCACTCACTGTTTAATTCCTGCAGCATCATCTGCAGTGACTGACATCTCATCCTTGAGCTCCTTGATCATCCTTCCCCAGGTCTCCTCCAGCTGCTTCTGGAAAGGTCCCAGCTCTAGGCGATCCAGCTGTGGACAGATGCACATCCTCAGCCAGCTGCCCCAGGATGGAACGTGGAGCATCCTGCCTGAGGATCCCCCCTCAGGCAAAAGCCAAGATGGGGATCCTGAGAGGGATGCTGCTTTGGGCTTCAAAATCCCCAAGGAGCCAGTTTTGTGCAGTGGGGACAAGGCACCCTGTACCTTGGAGTCCAGTGCACCACGGAGCTGCTGGTGGACCTCCTGCCCGTGCTGCTCCTGGCTCAACACTCGTTTCAGCATCTCCCGCATCCTCTCCTCCAGACTCTCCATGCTTGCCTCAAATTGGGTGCAATTGACTTTGCTGCCCAGGGAGGCTTTATCCTCTTTCTACCAGGGAGGAAAGGCAGGACAGTGGTGGGGACAGGGCAGGGATTCAACAGGCAGGGCCAGTGTCCGCTGGGGACAGAGGTAAAACTGCTCCTGCAGGGACACTGTGCCCCTTTCAGGGATGCATGGCCTGCTCACCCCATCACCCCCGTGGGGTCGATCCCACCAGCTGAAGGGACCCAGGGAGAGAGAGGAGATAGAGGGACCTGGGAAGGGATCTGCAGCCAGTCTGGAAATACACCCTCCCCCCATACCAAAGCCAGTTTTGCCACTGAGTGCCCAAAGGACAAGGGGCATTTGTCATCCTGCCTGAGACTCCTTGGTTGGTGACAGGCCCCTCAAGACTGTACCAGCAGCAGCAGGTCCTCCTTGTCTGCTTTCTTCTCCAGACTCTCCAGGGACCGGAACAGAGCCTTCCAATACAGAAAGCATTCCATGACACTGCAGCAGGGATAAGAGCTACCTTTTGGCCAGCCAAGCATCCCATGCTCTTTGCTACCCAAAAACCTCTGGGAAAGGCCCTTTGAATCCACAGAGTGCTGCAAGCAGGTGGGCAGGGGATCAGATCTCTGGTGGTTCCCAGGCTAGGGTGTGCCTGGGGGATACTCCAACCCTGCAGGGGGTTCAGCCACCCACCTCAATATCTTTCTGCTGCTGGCGATGGTCATCCCGGAGGCTTCCTGTGACATAGCCAAGCTGCTCACAGTCCCCTTCCACCCGCACAACTGTGGCCTGGATGCTCTTCAGCAGCTCCTCATCCTGCTGCAGGGAGGAAGACGACAAGATGATGCCATGCCAGTGGTGTCTGGCTGCCCCACAGAGACAGATTTAGGGTACTCAGCCAGTGCCACAAGCCCTCAGTGCCAGCACAACATTTGTATCAAGGCTTTAGTTTCCTGCTGACTTCCATGCTGCTGACTTGTCCAAATCAGTTTGGGGGACAGCGAGGGGCTGCCCCACATTACAGTGAACGACCTGATACGAGGGTCCTGACACACCCTCCCAAACCCCCCATGCTGCCATTTGCCCACCTGGCTCTTCTGTGGCAGTGACCTCTGCTCCTGCTGTGGCACCAAGGAGTCCACCCGCTCACGGAGTATCTCATAGTCGTGTAGGAGCTTCTTCAGCACCTTGGTGTCTGAGCTCTGGTCAGGGCTTGCTGCCTTTGCCTGCTTCTGCTCTACACTCCCCACCATTGCCCTCAGCTCATCCAGCTGCAGGAAGGGGAGGTAGGATGGATGCAGCCAGCAGACCTGCATGCCATGGTGGCTCAATAGCCCCAGCCAGGCAGGGGATGCAGCCAGGAACCCCACAAGGAGCACCCTGTTGTTTGGGACAACAGTGGGAGTGCTCCTGCTGGACCTCACCTTCTCCTGAAGTTGGTTGGCTGTTACCAGCTGCTTCAGTGTGGCCTTGGTAATCTTCTGCTCCTCTCTCAGCTCCTTCTGCTCCTCTCTCAGCTCCTTCTGCTCCTGTTTAACCTCCTGCAGAGCAGGCCTGGCCAGTGAGATGAGTGCACAAGTAGGTTGAGTTTCCCCACGGCCATTTGGAGGGTGTCCCTCACCGCCCAAACCGGATACTCCTGGCCACCTTCCAGGCTCCCTTGCAGCCCCACAGGATACAAAGCCCTCTCCCATCCTCTTACTCCAGCTGGGAGATCTCGTCTCTGCCATCAGCCACATGTTGCTTTCCGAGGGCATCCTCCAGCTGCCTGATCTGGGAAGGGTGGTGTTGGCAGAGTCAGAGCACAGACCTTATGTTCTCCCAGCATGAGGGTCCTTTGTCTGCCTCCTCCCTGCCAACTCCCCCTGGCATCCCTGCAGCCCTCTCAGGGACTGCCACAGGCTCACCTTCTCCTTCTCGCCCTGCAGGTCACTGGCCAGGCCCTGCAGGTCACTGGCCAGGCCCTGCAGGGAGGTGACCTGGCCTTGGAGCTCACACAGGTCTCTGGTGATTCTCTCCACTGCTGGGTGACCTGCTTGGGATCCAGGCTGTGTCCCGGTGGTGCCACTTTGGGCACTGGGGGTCCCTGTCTGTATCCCTGGGGTGGTGCTCTGGGTATCAGGTCCTGACCCCAGGGTTTCCATGTCTGAAATGTGGGGCTTGGTAGAGGCAGACTGGTCATGGAGGGACAGTGGATGGCCAGCAGGATCGTGGAGGTTCTGCTGGAGTGGGATGAGAAGATAGGCAGCAGTCAGGACCCAGGAGCATCCACAATTGATCTTGTGCACAAGCCAGAGGGACCCTTGGCAGCTCTGGTTGCCCTGCACTGGTGCATCCTCACCTTCTCTCATTCCCAGCACCCATGTTCCCCTTTTTCAGGGCTGTTTAGTTCAAAGAGCCTCAAGATCCCTTTGGCTAAGGCAGGCAGTGACCTCTACCACTGTCCTGACCTGCAGGCAGAGTTGGGGGGCTCCTGGTGGATCCTTTCCTCTCTTCCCTCCTGATGCCCTTCATGCTGGGCAATACCCAGGGCCACAGGCCAGGGATGGCAGGGCAAGATGGTGAGGGGCAGGGAGGGTGTGGGGACCCAGCTCTCTCCCTCCTGCACTGGCAGCAGTTCACCTGGCCAAGAGCTTTCTGGATCATCTGGATGTCTTCTTCCATGTGGGACTGTGTGGCCTTCATTTCATCGACCTCTTTGCGGAGATCCTCGCAGAGATCTGTGGCCTAGGAGAGGGAGGTGGTGAGGTTGAGCCCCAGGAGAGGGTCCCTGGGTACCTGCAGGACCTTCATTCCTGCCATGTTCTCCATGTGGGGGGTAGCACAGGGTCTGGCCAAGCCTGGTAGCCAGGCACTGTGAGCAGCACTCATCTGGCAGGGCCAGATCCAGGGGTGCTGAACCTCTAGCACGTAGAGGCAAGGGCACTGGCTGCCGCCTCGGACCCACACCTTGCTGATGGTGGTAGCTCACCTGGCCAAGTGCCTCCTTGATCCTCTGGATTTCCTCTCCCATGCGGGACTGTGTGGCCTTCATCCCAGCCATATCCTCATAGAGATCCTGAGATAGAGCTGTGGCCTAGGAGAGACGGGTGGCAGGTGAGCCCCAGGCGAAAGCTCCCCGAGAGCTCCCGCCCCTGCCCTGGGGAGCTAATGGCACAGCCTGCGTCAGTAGAGACAGACTCTGCATGAAGAGGATCCAAAGCACCCAGAGAAGTGTTTCATCCCCAGCTCTTCCTCCCAAGAACCCCCTTTCCCACAGTGAAACCCCAAGTGCCGCTGTGAGCTTGGGCTTCAATAAAACTTTGGTATAAGTGCACAGACCTCAGAGGAGGATGGGGGTATCTTAAGAGGAGCACTCCGGGGGCTGGGAGGAGCCTCTGCATCAGAGATGCCACTCTCTTTGGCTTCAGTCTTCTCCATGTTGGTGGCCATGGAGGTGACTGGAGGGCCACTCTTGGTCCCCTGCAGCAGGTCCTTCCTAGACAGCTGCTCCCCTGGCTCCTGGGGCTGCTGCCCCATGTCCTGGGCTCTGGCCTCAGTCCTGCCCTCCTTCTGCAGGCCAGGGTGTGATCTGGCAGGCTGGGTCTCCTCCACAGCCGAGGGGAGCACATCTTGCATGCCCAGCAGCCTCAGGTGATCCAGCATGAGCTTCAGCAGTTTGCGGAGGGCCTCTAAGTTGACGTTTACCTCAGGTGTCCCGATGGCATCATCCAGCAGCTGCACCAGACTGACTGAGGCCATGGCTTGTGCCCTGCCCCAAAACACAGCACCTGTCCTGGGTGAATGGGAGCGTTTGTGCTCAGAGGGAACCCAGCAAGTTAGAAGTATGGGCAGCCAGCAGCCCCCTTCCTCCTTCTCCTCCTCCTCCTCTGCCTTTCTGAGCCCCAGCCACAGGCATGTGCCTGTGTTTGTGCTGTCTCTTGTTGCCAGGTAACACCTGGCCCTGGCAGCGGGTTGTAACAGAGCTATGGAATCATGGAACACATCGGATCGGAGGGGACTTTTAGAGATCATCGAGTCCTGTGCTTCCAGCCATGGTGGGTCAGGACCTCCTGGCTGTAGGGGTCTTCCCTGATCACCCCCTAGTTCTTCAGTCCCCCCACCTTCGGGGGGAGAACATGAGGTTAGGGACCCAAAAATTCCCTTGCTCCCCTTGCTGTTCATCCACATTCCATCTTGGGCTGGAGGGGACAGTGTTAGTCCAACCTCCTCCATCCCTTCAAGTGTTGCCCCACCTTGGGGTGCCCCTGTACAGCGCAGTTGAGGGCAGTGATGCAGCTACACAGAGTGCTGTGAGTCACCAATGGGTCAGGAACTGGGGGCTGAGCAGAGAGCATGCTCCTGGAACTCGAGGGGCTTCAGTATCAGGCACAGGGACACACCCACACGGACACACGGCCTGAGTTGGGGACCTCTGGACAGTCCCACAGTGCTGAGGAGACCAAGGCAGCTGGATGCGGGGGTGTCCGCTGGCTGCTCTTCCTTCTTTGGGCTCCTAGAGATGGGGGGCAGGTGGCACCCCAAAACCCCAAAGGAACCAGATGTATGGGGTGCCAACCACAACCAGGAGGGGACACAACTGTCTGGGCAGCTCCCCAAAGGGATCCAGATTTTGGGGTGCCCTTCACAACCCTGAGGGGACCCAGATGTTCAGATGGCCTCCCAGAACCAGGAGGGGGCCCAGATGTCTGCGTGTCCCCCCACAACTAGGAGGTGCACCTGCTGGTGCTTGTCTGATGGGAGACTGTCCACCACTCTCCAAAGCTTCCAGATCAGGACGCTATGGAGAAGAGGACACAATGCCCACGCACGGTGTTTCCACATATACAGAAGGTACATACTTGGAATACTGTGTCAAAAAGAGCATCCTTGGTCTTAACAGTATCTTCAGCATATGGTTTGGTCTCTTGGTGGTGAGTGGATGGCAAAACAGCACTGTCAACCTCTGCTTAGCTGAATTGATCCACATAAAAAACTAATAGATAAACAATCTCCTGCTTCGTGTGTATTTAATAGCATACTCCCAGTCCAGATTATATGTAGTTAAGAGGGCTTTCTTGCAATCTCAGCACTCTTCTCTTAAGGAGTTATTTTAGTGGTAGAAAAGTGTAATTCTTGCCAAAGTTACAGCTGAGTCACTAGTGAAGATAACATAAATCCTGAATTCAATAGGGTTTGGTTTTCTTTCTATAGCTAAAGGAACTCAATACTCTACAGTAAGGAGAGGATAGTAGGCTAAAACGAGTTAAGAGAGAAATTATTTATTTTTAACACATTAGGAACACTGTTCACAGTACGTCATTAACAGGGTGACTACATAATGAGGTGATCATAAAAGGGTGACTTAAAAAGCTAGTTAAAGACAAAGCGTAGACTATAGGCTAGTCATGGAAACTGGTAGGCTTTTTCCTCCCATATGCAAAGCTGCACAAATAAAGACTGTCTCATACTGTTTCTGCAAAGGTGAAAGATTGATTTACTTAATCGGTACATTTTCTTTATTTTGTATAAACATACCAATACTTAGATTAACATTTCCATACAATTTACGATGTTTAATTTAAATACAGTATTATGTCTCATTAATTTAAGGTGCAATTTATCAAAATCTACAGTAAATTATTTTTAGTTTAAATAATCAGTTCTCTTTGGCACGCTTCTGGTTTGTTTCAATACAAAAGTGTAGGACTGAATCGAGTATATAACACTGCAGGAACTTGGAGGGGTTTTTTTGTTAGCATATGAGTCAGATATTATGTTTACCACAAGCTTATTTACAAACAAAGAACTGTATATGAATTTCAGTTTACTTTATATATAAAATGGCTAACTACTTCAATGTGCAAGGCAAAAAAGAAAAAATTGTTACAGCAACTCCTCCCTTGAGAGAGTGGTTTTTGCACCATGGAAATCTTGTATAAAATGTTTTAGAAAATGGAGATTTCTTATGAGGAGGTTCTCGGTGCTTCTTATTCTATAGCAAGCCACCCGAGGACATGAATTTCTGGGTCCAGAAATGGTTCATAAGATACAGTTCATAAGGTATATCATATTGGCACTGTAGTAGTGTTGCAGCTATAAACTTGCATGTTCAACTCGCAAACTAAACGAAGGAGCCAAAAAAACCAACCGGTCTGGGTAAAAGGTTTAGTCAGAGCGGCTTCTTTCTAGAAAAACAGTCCGATTTCTATATATCTTGATAATATATCTGGTTTTATTCCAAGAAGGAAAGGTTTAGAATTTGCACTGTGCATTTTCATCTTCATGACCTATGCTTCTTTTGAGCTGACTATTATTTGGTTAGAATCAAAGGTGAACAACAGAAAACGTTCTTTTTTCTCTTTCTGATGGAAATGTACTAAGAGGCCATCCAAGTGGACCTAAATAGGTGAAATATCACTTTACAAAAGCTCTTCAAATGCCGGAAGAGCAAACTTGTAGCAACTTATTTCACATCTGAAGGCCAATCCCAGCAGTTGGCACTCACATGAAAGGCATGGGGAAACTTAGCTACATAAATACTAGAAATTCTTCCATGCCTAATTATTTCATAATTAAAGAAAACTAAACTCTGTTCACAGTAAAATGTACTTATTTCAAGGCCCTTCTGGTCTGTTTTTTCCTGAATCACGCAAGTAGTATCCCCTCAGCTGCAGAAATTAGCAATTTGGCAAATGATCAAGTTACAGGAGGTGTCAAGTACAGTGCGACCTGTTTAGAAGGCAAGGATGTTAAAAGGTATTTCATATAGGTGCTTTGTGATGTGGTAAGGTGTGAAATGTTGTGCTACTCCTGAGTAAAACACATTTGGCTGTCCCAGCTAAGATACCCACTTATGAGCATGCTGATTCCAAAGAGGCATTTCATAGCCTCAGCAAAAATGTATATTCTTAAAAAAAAAAAAAAAAGTATTGTACAACTGTCTTTTTCTTCAACCTATCAGCACGTACTAAGAGTGGTGAGTTCAAACTGTTGAGAGAGATGATGAGAAGGGGACAGAACTGGAAGGTTAATCAGAATCTGTGTAGTAAATCAAAAGCTAGTGAGACGTAATTCATTCTCAATTATCCTTTAACCTTTTTGAGATATTGCATATGGCCACGTACTTTAGTGCTCCTGTTTTACCTGAAAGCTACTGGCTTTAGAACTGAGATGTCTGTGTGAAGGATATGGTGTCAGACTTATCTATAGCAAAGCCTCCATTGATGTAAGATTTCTTGGTCTCTCTTCCATCATTATCAAGTATTGTTGTTTCCAAGGCAAAAGGATTGACTATGTTGACTTCAGAGGTGACATCCATCTGCTCCAGCTCCTTTTTAGAGAGCTTCTCCACTACCCCTGTACCAAAGGCATCTCCCAAGACATTCACCATTGTTCTGAATCGATCCCTATGGAATAAAAATGTCAGACAAACCATTCAGTATGTTACTTAGAAAATCCTTTTAGTAAAAGTAAGCCTACTCTAGCAAATGCAGCACTGTTTCCCTCCCACTGCAGATTTGGGGTAATTCTTCAATTAAAAGAAAAAAGTCTAGAACAAGAAACAGAATTTTGCCCACATGTATTTGAAGAAGCCTGGAGTCACTTTCATGACAAGTTGTGTATAGGTCATGCAAAAATGCAAGTCATATGACTTGTCTGTCTAGAGTAGAATTCCATTGCTGTGGCACACCCTTACAAAATGTTGCAAGGATCACCTCTCAGGCCCTGAAGTATGCTACGCAGGGCCTTTGTTTTCCTTTGTGATGAGAGACTGTGGGGTGCAGCAGAAGGAAGAGCCTACATTGTGCCTTTTGTGATTCTAACAGCCATGTCTTCAGCCACATCAGCACCTAGCCCAGCATCTTCAGTATTCTGACCCAAACCCTGGAAAGAGGAAAGGCTATCTTCTGCTAGCTTATCATTGTTAAAGGGCTGAAGTTTGCCACTACTAGCAAATAGTTTGCAAAATAATACATTTTAAGCAATAAGTACAAAAGGCGAAAGTGTTAAACAAGTCACTTAAAGGAATATGATAATTCTGCACTGTTGATTTTTCTCCAAACAGAAATGTCACTTGCAGGCCTTAAAAATCTGCCACTACTTGGCAGAGGAGCAACAAACCCCTTGCAATATAACAAAGTTTGAAAATTGGTGTGGAAGTATGGACAGTGAAAGGCCATTCTTCCCTGTTTTTCTTTTCAGCTACACAAAAGTGCAAAGGCTCTGTGGCAGAACAGGTTTCTCTGTCTATGCAGAGATGTTGAGGTTGACATATTCATAATATTTTGCAATACGTTGCCAAAACAACAGTGAAGTGAATTGGCACGTCTTATATATATTCTTCTTCTAGAACTGCTGAACTCTAGAGCTAAAAAAATTCCCACATTTTTTTCCATGTGGAATAAAAATATGTGGTGGGGAAAGGGAGAGAGGTAAAGAAAAATTCTGGTAGAATCAGTCTGACAAGTGAGACAAATCAACAGAACTGGAAGCTCATCTATTATAATACTTGTAATCAATTAATTTTTCTATTCTTCATTTAACATGTGGAAGAACTCCTCAAGCCTAGGCAATAAAACTTAGGTAAGTTCATAATTAACTGCTGGATTGTTAATGAGCCACTACTATCAAATAGTTTGCAAAATAATACATTTTAGGCAGTAAGTACAAAAGGCGAAAGTGTTAATAATCTACGTGGCATCACGATGTGCATTCCATCCCCTGAGGTGCAAAATGCACTAGCAATGATCCCTGGTACAAAAAATTAATCTTTAATTTGCTTTACGCAGCAAGAAACCTTAGTCTGAAAAATGCCTCAGTTCCAACCAGAAACATCTTGAATTATTTGTATGCTTCATGGTGGAACAGGTAGTTTCCATGATTCATA